AAAGCGGCATAAAATCTTCCCACGCAGCCTTGTGAGAGCACAATTACTCCTACTTGAATTAACAACGATCTTTTATCCGCCCATGTTCAAAGAAAACATGAACAGCCCAACAATGTATTCAGGGCCCATGTCGGCGACTACATAATTAACGTAAATGAGTGTAGATGATACAGCAACTTACAGGGAACATTCTGTTACCTATGTCTAGATGTCCTAACGTAATAATTAGTGTCATGGTTTTGTATAATCAAGGTAATAATTTAGTTCTGAGAGGGGTATATCATCAATTTTGAGTTTGACGAACGAAGTAAATTTTGAATGACCTGAAACTAACCGTACTTCCGATGTACCCTTGTTAAGTCAGGGAGAATAGAAGACTGCTTCGGATTACCCCTGGTTAAGTCGACAGATAAATGATAGCTTGGTGTAATTACTGCTTATGGAGACACTTTGGGATGGTTATGAGTATATACATTATACACTTATATTATATACTATATGCATGTTATAGTGGTTATTGTTCGGACTTCAGATCGGAGCTGATAAGTCATTTCATTTTCAAAACTGAAATACACATTAACTCGTGCAAGGTTATCTCGTCCACTGACCACAAAGATTCGATTGTTTACGATGGTTTATACGCCCTTGTTGATGTAAGACGATATAGGCCGCACTTGAAAAATAATTTGACCCCATAATAACCAACAAAACATTACTAGACTGATAATTTTATAACAGTTGATTAAAATACCAAAAGTATAAAATAGAACCCTAGTACTCATAAGATAAAGATAACCGTGGAATAAATAACCTTTTTTTTGTTCCTTTTTCAGCCACTATTCAACATGGCTAAGACTTTCCTTAGCCCGGCAGAGGTCTTATTTATGACTTTGTACTTGTTACCTTAAGTTGCTAAATAATCTGGTAATCGTTAACGTATTCGTGTGTTGGTGTTCTATAAGTAGGAATAACTTTGAAATGTTTTACCTCACGAAAGCCTCAAAGTCTTCACTGCTCACATCGGGAATTGTAATGTCTTCTTTCTCAGCTAGGGGGCCATAAAACATGGCGTAGAAGACGCTGCTTCTACTGATAAGCACGTGGCGATGAGCCGTCACAGGCTTCTTCTCCTTGCCCACTTGGAATATGACGTCACACGTCTCTGAAGATCTCGACATGTGTTTGTTGCTTTGGGAGATGTCGTTGCACGTTTGCAACTTCCTCAAGGTACCGGAAGCGGAAGTCATGATGTCATTGGCACGCCTTCTGAAAAGCAGTACTTCAGATTACTAAGCTATTCAAGTAAGGGTCAGAATGGTGGTTAAAGCGATGGTTCGACACGCCGATAAACCGGGTTCGAATCTCCACATGGGTATATAGTGTTCGGCCCTTTCTTGGTGCAGTTCTCCATGATCCTGCTTGAATATTGAAGACCGTACCCACTCAATATGGTCCAGCTGTAGGCATCCATAACTAGTTCATCGCGTATTAGGAAAACTGAGGATAGGATGGTCACTACACCTGGCTATTCCTCATGGGGCACAACTGCATGGACCATTCTTCTTGATATCAACCACTGGCTCACCTGAGAAAGATGACGTACAGAACGCCGTCACATATACCGGGAACGTCACTGTGCGGCCCCAAATAACATTCACTCACATACCCCACGTATGTAGGTAACTGCCACTATGTACAGCTGAAACATCGCTGAATGCGGCATAAAACACTGTTCACTCACAAACACATTGACTCTTGTTAACGTGCGGGGAATTCAATTGGCTGTTCGTTAGGAATTTGTTGCACATCGAATCGACAGAAACAAACATTCGACACAACTAATCACTCAATGAAATATAAAATAGTTATCCGATCCCAATTGACAGTGAACTCGCTCAGTTTAATCTACTTGAGTACAGGCTGTGGCTAACGGAACCCTGAGATTTTAGTACATCCAGGTAGTGTTTTACCTGTTGGAATAATCTGTCGCACAGGTAAACAGCTATATCATACGGCTTACACACGACGAACCTACCCAAAGTCACAAGTCATACGGAAAACATCTACCCAGTAAACCTTTTATATTGTAGGAGACGTTTATTTCAGGCGAGAAGCAATACACTATATATAGAACTATTCACCTGAAGCTAAGTAGTTTGCGAAACGTATTGACATGGCTATTTATAGTATCATAACAGCCACGATTTCGGAGTTCAGGTTAGATCTAGCCGTCACGACAATCTGTTCCCTTACCTGGTTGTCCGGGCACTTGTCGAGTTATTTACATTTACCATCACAGTGTATCAATTCTTCAACCTTTCTATGGTTTTAGTTGCTTTTATGGGGTATTTTAAAGTATTTTAACCGTTTTGTGCTTTACACACTGTAAAATTGTATTTCGTTTCTTCAGCTAATATCGATAGTCTGTCATACAGACCCTGAACAAATATATCCAAGAAAGCCCATGCAAGTCTAGAATATGTGGCAAGTCTAGAATACCACAGTTTCTGAGAATGAAGAAAGCCTCTGGGGTCCTTTTCATTATATTTTATGATTATTATCTATGAACCGTTTTTCTGTAAAATATGTTCATTTCAGAGACAAGATGTTAATCTACTGATGTGACAAAAATAACATTATATCACTCTCGTAACATTTATGTCAACAGTCTTACTTCAAATTTGAAGAAAAACAAGGGGAGGTACTCGATTTGGAAGTTTAAGTGTTTGACGTCAGTGAGTGTCTGTATTGTTAAGATCGTGACTGGGTGTTAAATCGATATATCTCGAACAACTTGACGAACGAAATTCACGCCACACCTTTCAAAGGTGATTATATATAATGTAGAATTTACGCATAAACGAAGGATGTGAAAAATATAAAACATATATATATTACGTAATATTTACTGTTAAATTTAACACCAGCGGATGTTATTATTTAAAGCGATACAACTGATAAATTACTAAGTAATTAATTCTAAATACAACGAATACAAAAAAACATGTGATGCACTTCTGTTGTCTTTTGTATGAAATGAGTCGAGTTGCTGAGTGGATAAATATTGTTACCATGGCAATTAGCACAGTTGCGCCAAGCTTCCTATGAATAATCGAATCTGGGCCATACGAACCCGTTACATTAAGGACGAGTGAGTTTAGTTTTACATCTAATAGGCTATCACACTTTCTCATCATGTGGGGAATCGAAACCGGGTCTTCGGCGTAAAGAGATAACGCTTGAACCACTGGGCTGCCCCTTTACTTTTAGAGTAGGTTCAACGGCCTTCTAAAGAAGGGGTGATGTTTCAAAATAAATTTATACAAATCAATAAGGTTTCGCTAATAATTACAACAGCCTCGATGAATGAGCAAGGGAGTGAGTGAGTATTGTTTTACGCCTTTTGAAGCAATTATTCCATTCATATCACGACGGGGAACACCCAAACCAAAACACGAGTCTCCGGAAATTGGATTTTCACACAATGTAACCACTGGGGGATTCGAAGCCGGGATTCCAGCTTAACAAGCAAACACGTGAGCCAATTGGCTACCCGCTATGTTAATTCCTGAAACAAAAATTAAATGTTCTCATCTGTTTTACCTTACACAAAGGATACGGTAGAGTCAATCATCCTCAGTGAACCCGGGCGTTATATCTCCATACTTTAAGGATAGGTACCCCGGGCCCACCTACCTATAACCTCGTTACTGGGATGATGTCACCATCTCCATCCCGGGTATCTCGGGTATCTTTAACTACGTATAGAATTGATCTGGCTCGATCGAGGAATTTGTTTGGGTGGCTACATCACTCTATATTGGACTAAACACAGTGCTACAGTGTCGAATGAGTTCGGGGTGGGGGTTATTTTAATAGCACGACAATATTATTATCTAGATAACCAAGGAATCTAGCCATTCGACTTACACTGTTCCTCAGGATTTGACATGTACAGTGAAAACCCGTTAGTCCCGACCTCGTTAAACCAGAAACCCCCGCATCCCGGACAGCAGAGTATTCTGACAACGTGTAACAAATTCCTCGTTTATCCGGTCATTCGGTAGTCCGGGTGATTTCATAATAACCAGGAGATCTGGATCAACAGCGTTTCAATGAACTCCTCACAATATGAAGCGTATACGCACATTTGGATCTCTCGGGGAAGTCCCCGTCAGTCTCCACTCGAAGGGATTGCCCAATCCGTTCGACGTCGTGTCGGCCCTATTGCATACAATTACGACAGGCGACATGCAGGCGAGATAAGTTGCCCCCAGCGTACCGGGTTAACATGCTGTTACATTCTTTCCTTGTTGACGACATATGAATATGTCTATCGTCGTTTGTGGAGACCTGTTGTGTTTTAAAAATAACATTCGGCGTCAGTACAGTCTTGTTTCCTTGTACAGGTGAATGACAGTTAGGCAACATGTGTTAGAAGGCAGGCTACGTTTGTTGATAACAGTATCGGATAGTGTTTGAAGATCATTTTAAGATCAGCAATATTCCGGCTATATGGCGGCGGGGACAATTATGGTAGTGATGGTTATGAAGTTGTTACTGCTGCTGAAGGCTATGGTTTTAACAATAATGAAATAATTAATCAAAATACTACTAGTAATACCCCATGACGTGGTAGTAGTAGTAGTGGGTGAGTGAGTGAGTGATTTTAGCAATAATCCAGCAATATCACGGCGGGGGACACCAGAAATGGGCTTCACACATTGTGCCCATGCGGGGAATCGAACCCGGGTCTTCGGCGAAACGAGCCAACGCTTTAACCACTACAATGCGACGCGACAATGCGACCTAGCGACAATTTTCAAGGTCAAAATATGTAGCGTTGTCGCCCCATCTTAGATGTGTTGATTTCACACAGACAGACAGACAGACAGACAGACAGACCAAACAGGGATACCAGGGGGACCCTAGCAAACACGAACTACACATGTCGCATAGATATATTCACATAAGCGCATGCTTACATTGTTTCAGTGCATTGTTTAAGGTTAATGAGGCGGATATAATTTACGATACAGTCTTTGTGTCTCCAGTTCGGAGTTTGCTCTTGTGTCAAGTTGTTTTGATAGGGAACTGATAACATTCATAAAAACAATATGACACGTTTGATAGGGATACAGAAATACCTCACTCTTAGATAAACAAAGTATGTTTGTTTATATGTTCTTTAACTCCCAACTCAATAATATTCAACCTATATGATGGCAGTCTGTAAATAGTCGAGCATGGACCAGACAACCCGGTGATTGACATCATGAGCATCGATCTAAGTGATATGGTAAAACGCATGAAGTCAGCCAGCCTGACTATCCGTTCCCTTTTGTCGCATTTTACGACAAGCATAGGTTGCTGAAGACCAGTTCTAACCCGGATCTTCAGGCAATCGACTGGGATCTTTGTTAATGTTTATTCGAAATATGTTTAAGGGAGGAGTAGTTTACCAAGTACCAGTCGTAGACAAATGTTCAAATGAGCCGAGGTTGCTGCGTGCAAAGGGAGGCTATTTCACAGTCTTTTCAAATCGTCGTAAAACAACAGTTGTCTCCCCTGCATGCACACTGCAGTTCCAACCGTCGGTGCCTTGCCGCTTTTCTTGAATCGATACACACGGAAGCTTTCTCACGCTGCGTTGTCGATTGAATTTCGAGAATGTTTCTCCGTGAAGCCTAATGTATTGCTGATGAACACTTTCAGTCCGAACAAACGCTAGTTTTATAGTGCCAGGCCAGTGATATGTCACAGTTTAACATTGGTGCTTTACTCTGACAGAGACACTGCGTGAAGTTTCTGGCGTTCTCCGTCTGTATTATGGATGGAATATTGCTAAAAGCGGCGTAAAACCATACTCACTCACTCACTACTCCGACAAAATGTATTGACCACTAACCGATCCGTCTTCCTTTTATCCGTCATGCTGTTGATCACTGGATTGTCTGGTCCAGATTCAATTAGTAGCTGGAATATTGTGCGGCGTTAATCAACAAACAAACAAACAAACAAAATCATTTATCCATCTAAACGCCAAGCTCCAGGGTAACAACAAACCAGAAACCATAGGAAGGTCACGAGTTTCGTATAATTCGTATGTAATGAGACCGAGTGTGGTATTTTATTTATTACTCACGTCTTACATGCATTAAATTGACAAAATAGCGTATTTTTTGTTATCTTTATGGTTTCAAACCGAAACCGGTTTCATAAAGAGGTTGCGGAAGAATTTTGTTCTGTAGTACACTTTTTGCATGACGTCACACTGTAATGACGTCACTATGCCTTGCTCGTCTGCCCCATTGGTAACCGATGTCACGATGCATGTAAGTTGTCATCGCTTCGTACAGCCTCCTACATTAAACTACTTGGTAGCACCCCGTTTCTTGGTTTGCAGCTGCTTCACTCAGCTAACATCACTGGTGGAAACTTTGCGTTTATGTTTTTTCGACGGATGTAATGTCTCAGTTCGACTCACAATTAAACAGCGACACGGCAACGTCCGCAATGTTTACATTCCCACAATGCATATAACTTGTAGAATGAATTCACGTGCTTGTAAGAATCAAAAAGTAGTTCAGTCACAACGTGACCTAATTGTGAGGTCATCGGTTATCCAATCAAATCGTTAGAATCTCAGGTCAAGTCGTTACGACACAGGTCAACGCGATAAGATACTCGTGTGACGTACGAGATCAGTATGCAACTACCCATGCGTTGACCACGTGGGTAATAAATATGATTATGACACCCTTATCAAATACACCATCATCCAGTAACCTTTTCTTGTTTGTTACAGATTAGCCACATTCAAGCATGAATGTATACTTTAGTGTACGTTAATAACATTTGAAATCTGTTTGTATTTGAACACCTAAAGATCTAGCCTTGTGCGGTTTACAGCGAATTTACACACACACACACACACACACACACACACACACACACACACACACACACACACACACACACACACACACACACACACACACACACACACACACACACACACACACACACACACACACACACACACACACACACACACACACACACACACACACACACACCGTGGTCCTGAAAGTTTGTTAAATGACCATTGAAACACTCCTCAAATTGGGTGAAAATCAATTGTGCCAAAAAGCTCTATCCGCCCCTGTTCCTACATCGCTGCTGCCCTTGGTACTCGCCTGAGGACTAAGACGAGTAGTTCCGAAGCGTAAGTTCCCGTTATATCCTATATAGGGCCATCAGTTCTACATCAGATATAGAGTAGCCAGTTCTCGTTATGCCCGATATAGAGTTGTCTCTTCTCGTTACATCCGATACAGAGCCCTCGGGCAAATACAGCATAAGGACATATGTGAAGATCGTTGACGGAGACGACCCATCTCCCAAAATTAATCTAAATAGTTCAAAATGTCATATAATTTGGAATTGTAAGCACCCAGCATACATACCTTACGAAGATACAACCTTCTTATTGGCAGACCTACAAGGAAATTAACATTCAAATAATCTGCTGATGCTCGCTCAAAGTCTATGACAGTTGTGTGTTTTTTGCGGTGATAACACGCTATTTTTAGATCTATTCACCCGTAGGAAGATTCAGAGTAACGTCGATCTAGGATATCGGAGAGAGTTAGGTTAATGAGAGCGTTTGTGTTTGTTTGAAAAGAGTAATATAAATATTGTACATAGAGCTAATTTGTAGCTGTCATTGCGTACACAATGTATTGTGTTATGTAGTTGCCTTGTTGATACTTATTTATAGATCATTGTTCTATCAGATTCAAGGTGGTTTTAACCGCAAACATATGCATGAGTAGGTTCGGTCTAACGCAAATCGATATTGTCATATACATGTATTCTCGCTCCAAGGCTGTACTGAAGGCTAAGCTTCAGTAGTTCTATCCTTTAAAGAGGCAAGTCTAGACAGTACTAAGGACCACAGTGTGTTATTTATATTTTTTAAAAGAAAATATCATTTTAACTATTAATTATTACCTGATAATAAGTCTAATATGCACGCTGTTTGTATGGAACGTTGGAAGTTCGAGATGGAATATAATGCCTGGTTTTGTCCAGCCAGATTCCCATTCCTCATTGTCATGGTACAAATTCTATTTCTGGTATATGACGGACTGCCAGAGTGATTCAGTTCTTTCCATCTATACTCAGCAAAAAAAGAAACGCAAAAGTGTTTTACATGTATACTTTATGTGTTATATAAATGATCAACAGATCATAAGAAATTGTTCAAATTTGGCACAAGTCATTGTCACTGACTAGGTTCATAATGGTAGACATGAAACAATGGAATGACAAGGTGAAGGTCATCTGGTCTGGATATCTTGTATTGCCCCATGAGCGTCGCCTGGCAGCGAAACCAGTCAGATTTCGAATTGTGACCTGGGGAATGTTCACTCACTCTTCCTGCAGTGCTTGTGCCAACTGTTAGAATTTTTGTGGAGCTGTTGCAAACGTTGATCAAGAGTATCCCATAAATGTTCAATGGGGGCTTAGATCTGGAGACCTTGAGGGCCATAACAATACCTGTATGATGTGGTTGCTAAAAAAGCAATTGTAAGCCATGCCGTTGTCGTGTTGAAAAAATGACGTTTGTCTGTTGCATAATTGGACGTACGTGTGGCCAAAGAATTTCATATGTGTAAATTGCCCCAGACGTGTCTGTTCTACCGGTATGGGAGATGGCGACCCACATCATTACTCTTCGCCACAATTTCCAGCATAAGGGTCCCCACGACGTCTTCCGTCTGCACGGAGAAGCAAAATATCGTGACTCGTCACTAAACCAAACACGTATCCATCGTTGCTGTGGCATATTCTGTGTCCTTGACTCCATTGGTAGCGTCGCAGCCGATGATGGTCAAAAATGACGTCTCGAACTTGGGCGAACACCTGCGGTACGTAGACGCTTCCTCACTGGGCTGAAATCCTCCGCAATCAAAATATCTTTGTGACGAACCCGAATGTACCTGTTCTGTTTCTATTGTCAAAGCGCTATGGTCGCTTTGTGAAATTAGGAGCAGTCAGCAGAGTTGTGTATCACTTATGAGGTGAGGTGAGGTGAGGTGAGGTGAGGTGAAATTGGGTTTAACGTCGTGCTTGAGAATATTTCGCTCATATGACGACGTGCATGTGTGTGTATGTGTATGTGTGGCTACTTGTACTAGCCCAGACTTAAGCTGGTTTTATAGTGCTAGCCCACTGAGATACCATGCCGCAGTTAAGCATGAATACCCCACTCAGACACAGTATACTGACTCCGAGCCGACCAGTCCTTGTTGTACCCATTAATGCCGAGCGCCAGGCAGGGACCAACAAGTACCATATTTTAACGTCTTTTGGTATAACGCGGCCGGGGATCGAACCCGCGACCTTCCGCTCTCCGGGCGGACGCTCTAACCATTACACCACGGAGGTGGTTATGTATCACTTATGAAACGACCAAGGGCACTTGATTGTATTTCCCTACAGATCCACCCGGTGACATCTGCTTATACATCAGCTAGTGTATCTCGTGTAAACAAGCCGCCTCAGCAGGGATCTGCCAAGTCACGTTGTCATAGATCCAGCCAATAGAAATCCCACCTGGCTGTTGAATTGTTGTTTACCCAACCTACACGGCCTCGGACCACATTCGAACCCCTTTTACCACGACCCGTGCTGTTTTCATCCACCATCTGTACACGGTGTTGATGTCAGCTTCTTTTGAACCTAAGTTCAAGGCCGTTGAATATTAAAGCTCCATATTTCAGGTGACTGCTCTTGCTTGTGAGTTCTGCGAAACCTCAATGTTGGATCAAGGTTGATATTTTTGGGTTGAAGTGACAAGTGGCAGGTTGGACAGCATGAGACAGGACAGCCCGCGGAGGATATTAATTACTGTGGGCTGTCGTGTCACTGTATATAGCTAGGAAAGAAAATAATAGTGGTCTGACGCAAGATTCATGCTTCCTCCGCCATCAAAGACAACCTTGAAGTTGAACCCGGACCCGCGGAACATGAAAAGTCTCAGCATGTATCGTGTCAGAAAATATTGTCGTATGTTCTATGAGAAGGGAATATGAAACATAAGGATTTCACTTTATTATAGCGGTAGAAAACATGATATACTGATGTGCAAAAGAAAGTACACACTTGGTGCTTTGAGACTATCAAAACAACGTAAATATTTTGCTAGCAATGTTCCAATTGGGTACGATATCTATAGTGTTATTGCAACACGTACACAATGTTTGTGACTTGTGAGTCGCAATCAAAACACTTTTCTAAATATTACGCTGTTTTCAGGAAAACATTTTACCAAAGCATCATGTGTACTTTCTTTTGAACGTCAGTTTATAAACATATCGAATGTTTTCTTGAATCACGACTGTTAGCGCTGCGCAGTAAACATAAAACCATTTCAGCATACATCCTTCCTTGTTAAATGTGAAAATATGAATTATATATGTGAGTGAACGTGCTTGTATCCTAAGGCAATGCTGTTAATGTGAGTGAGTGAGTGAGTGAATTTCAGTTGCATCAAGTCGTTTCAGCCTGATGTGGCTTAGAACACAAAGTGCAACAGTTCGTGTTAGGCGATCACGACTAAGGGACAGTGAATCTGGGATCCAACCCACTATAACGGCGGTTTGTTGCAAGCCCAAGGGACGCAACTCTGCACAGCGAACGTAGACATGGGAGATACTGGGTTTCGCATATGTCTTGAAATAAGGCAAGAAATGACAATACATGTGATTTGAGTTTTTTGTTTGTTTCTTGTTTTACGCCGCACTCAGCAATATTCCAGCACTGGCAAACTGCGGTGCTAAATAGTCTTCCTATAAGCGAGCAAAGGTTGGCAACGTACTTCCCTCGCTTCGGTTCGAAAATATTTTTAATGTAAAAATAAGATATCGCCACCATCAAAGGTAAACACCCATTTCCTCACAGGGTTGTGCTCTCATATTTCCAACCTCATATCTAATAAATACTCACGTAAAATATATTTCATTCAACATTTTAAGCGCCACTCGTGGCATATCAAATCGTTCTTCTCCTCCATTACCCCTGCCAGCTTCCGGTCCATTTATATGGCCGCAGTCTTAAAATAATCGAGTCTGGACCAGAAAATCAAGTGATCAACAGCATGAGCATCGATCTACGCAGCTGGATTACCATGTCATGTGTCGACTAAGTCAGCGACCCTGACCACCCGATCCCGTTAGTCGCCTCTTACAGCATGTATTACGGAAGACCAAATCTAGCCCGGATCTTCCCGGGTCAGTTCGCATGTTAATAAATGGGTAAATGAAGAGATAGACGGAAAATAACTGAGGGTGTTGTCTGCTTTACGGTCACGCGAATGTGTGCTTTTTAAAAAATAAATAAAAAATAAAAGGAAATCTAGTCGAAGTGATTTGAACGTATGCCAGTAGCAAGAGGATGGAGAACCTGGCGAGTGGTGTAGTGCAGGCACAACAGTACATGGATCTGACCTGCTAGTACTTCCGTTCATTATATTCCTGTAGTGAAACAAACCCTGCCCTGTACACACTGTATGGATGAACCCTGCGATCTGGCTGGGGTTGTTTAGTCCATCTTGCAGCCCCTGAACAATTTCATTGTCTCTTCCGGGCTATGCTATCCTAGCGCTCTTGCCAATATAACCAGCCTAAGTTTAGAAAATTCTTACTGTACCGACTCACTGGGGCCTAGGTCAGGTTTAAATGGAGTGTTTTGTTTCTCTCAAAACTATATATTTTCAGACATTAAACGTTCAGAGTCCGTTGGTTAGACTGGAAGTCTACTACGCATGCGGGCCACGCGGCAAGCAACAAGCAGAGCACGTGGTGAGATTGTTGACGATGGTGATGGTATCTACGTTGCAGGAACATCGTTGCAGTTAGATATAGTAAGGTGAGGTGAGGTTAGGTGAGTTGAGGTGAAATTGGGTTTAACGTCGTGCTTGAGAATATTTCGCTCATATGACGACGTGCATGCGTGTGTATGTGTATGTGCGGCTACTTGTACTAGCCCAGACTTAAGCTGGTTTTATAGTGCTAGCCCACTGAGATACCATGCCGCAGTGAAGCATGAATACCCCACTCAGACACATTATACTGACTCCGAGCCGACCAGTCATTGTTGTACCCATTAATGCCGAGCGCCAGGCAGGGAGGGACCAACAAGTACCTTATTTTAACGTCTTTTTGGTATGACGCGGTCGGGGATCGAACCCGCGACCTTCCGCTCTCCAGTTAGATATAGTTATAGTGATGTGCACTCTGAGAAGCCAGAGTTGTTGGTTGTTTCAGTCTTCTTAATTGGCCGGGGAACCAACAATTCACAGGGAAAATGGATAATAATAATCTAGAATATTTATAAAGCGCCTTTCCAGGCTTCATATCCTGCTCAAAGCACACACATATAATCTGATTACTATTACCCCGAATAACCCAAACTGCCTGTCAGGCGCTAGA